AAATAAAAAATAAAAAAGTTAGTTTCAAGTTGATTATAATCTTTTTTTCGAGAGAATGTCTGTGTACTTTTTTAAAATGTTAAAAATAAAATCGAACCTGAAAAATTTGACGAGAAGAAATATTGGATTAAAAAAAAAAAAAAACCTTACATGCACCTGTTGAGTTGATATTCATATTTTTCCTATTAAATAATATACCATGCCAAATGTTATTATTATTATTATTATAAGTAATAATTTAAATTATTAGATTTGAATTTGTCGGTTATTTAAATTTCTCTTTCGGTTTCCATAATTTTGACTTTCTTTTTTTTTTTTTTTGACCCTAGTAAAATTTTTTTAATGATTTCCACTCACGGGGTTATTATATTAAGATTTAACTAATGAAGTTTTTATTTTTATTTTAATACTTAATTAAGGTTACCAATTAATTTAATTTTTTTTTTTTTTTGAAAACAAGAATTTTATTCATGTAAAATCATTGTTAATAAATCTTTTCACACTAATTTTTTTTATTAATATTATTATTATTAGTACTTCACTAAAAAAAGAACTTGAGCCAAAAAGATGGACTTGAGGCAAAAAGGTTTTCACATTCAATATACTTCACTTGTTTTTGTTTTAAACCGTTATTAATTAAAATTCCATGAAATGGATAAATGTTTAGCCTGACACACACACACACACACATTTTTCCTTTGTAATAAATAAATCATTTTCAAAAAATAATTACAACATTTTACCTGACAAAAATTGTCTCTTTTGATGTCTTAGAAATTTGGTTTCATTTATATTACTTTCATCTTTTTCTTATTTTAATTTCATTTAAGCTACAAATACTAAACTAAAACTTGGAATGATTTTTTAATTTTTTACAAAAAAAAAAAAAAATATTCAAAACTCTTACAAGAATAAGCAGTTACATAGAAAAGTAATTTTATAAATTTAAATAAACACCCATTTAAAAATTAAACATCTTTAATATGTGGTTTATTTTATGTAATTTTCATAATTGCAATGAGTTTTTTTAAATGTGATATCGAATAGTTTCGATTAATGAATAAATTACATTTCTTTAATCAAATTAAAAGATAAATAAAACAGATATTAAACTTATAAAAATTCTCTTCACTGCAAGAGTTTATTGTGAAATTGATAAAGTAATGAGTTTATCAAATAAGTTTAAAAAAAATAATATTCGAAACAAACTTTTCATTAATATGAAAGATAAAAAAAAAATTATAATGATCGAGTGCAAAACATAACGACATACACTTTAAGAACGATATATTTTTTTGTTTTTACAAAATAAAGTGTAACAGCATAATTAAAATCTAAAAAGTAAACTGAATTTATAATAAAACCTATTAAAAAAACTTTTTTTTGTTTAATTTTGTCAGTTTCGATAAATGTAATTTTCGAATTATGTAAAAAAGTTTATAATGTTGAAAATTTTAAATTTTAAAATGGTAATGATTCAGAAATTATTTGTCGATAAACAACAATTTAACTGCCTCCTTTTATTACACTGTGATTTTAATACAAAACAAAAAAAAATTATTAATATGCTTTTTTTTTATTTTTAATTTTAAAAGCATAAAAGTTGTCGAAAATGTTTCCTTTTTAATGAGGCATAGATTTTAAATTTTAAATTTATAAAAATTATAATCGACTACTTATTTACATACACAATTATGAGTACATAAATAAATATTAATGAGAATCGATAAATTAATTTTTTTAAATTCAATTTCTTTTCATACAATAATTTAAGGAATAATTTTAAAATTATGAAAATTTTTAAATCTTTTTTTTTTAAATAATGAAAATAACTTAAAATTGTTCACTAATTATTGATACATTTGGGTATGTAATTTAACTAATTAACATCATAATTTTTTATAATTATTTTATCAAATTAATTATTAATCGAGATGTATAAAATTAACCTTAATAATTTTTAATATTTATCTAATCGTTTTAAAAAAAAAAAGTTTAAAAAATAAAAAAACATAATGATAATATAAATCTAACCGTTAAATACAATTACCTGCGATTATTTTGAACGTTTTTTATTTAAAAACCGTCCGCCATTAAAATGAAAATGTATTTTACATTAATTAAATTTTCATTTAAATTCTAAATTTAAGTAAATGTTTAAAAAATTAACAATATTTAATGTAAATTAAGAATAATTTTAAAGCACAAACTACGACTGATTAATACTAATAACATATACATATGACAACTGACCAAACTTCAAATTACAAAATGTTGCCAGTGTTGCCAACTTCAGAAAAAAAA